ATTAAACAGCAGTGACTGTTTGTTGCCTGCAGCTGACACACTAAGCCCTCCTGAGCTGACCTGTGGCTTTGTGCTATCCCTCCCCCTCTCGCAGCATCACAGCTTCGCGTGTTGCTTAGCTGTACGTGGATAGCTCCTGGGTTTTGCTCCTCTGCCCCAACCCAGTGTCTGTGGTATCCTTGCTAGGTTGCTTAGATAAACCTGGGCTGCTGTTCACTGCCTGACTTTGTGGCTGTTTTGGTACCTTGTTGTCAAATGCTGGGCAGCAGCTGGTGCCGTGTGCAGTGACAGGCATAGATGTGTTATTGGATTGGTTTGTGTTGTAGTCTGTGTGAGCAGGAGAGAGGCTGCTTTTGGGGTATTCTTCCAGATCACTTTGCTCTTCTCCTGGGGGGCTGAGGCAGCGGGAAGCTGTGTATTCTGCATCTGACTGGCCTGTGCTGCAGGTTCGGCTCCGTTGTCCCTCGCTCCCGTCATCGCAGAACTGGGCTTCGTCCGTGCTCGTCTCGCTCCCCTGTTTTGTGAGCTGGATTCTTGTGTCTCTGTCTGTGGTAGCCAGCAGCTCCCCGCTGTCTTCCAGCTCGGAGTCAGAATCAACTGAGCGATCGCCAGACTCTAAGGGGCACATGGAGCCTTGTATTACCCTCTAACCCAGCACCAAGGGGCTAACAAAAGCTTTGTTCAGCAAACTCTTGGTGTCCAGGATAAGGGAAGGGCTCTGTGTTATTGCCAGGAGTGGCACTGGAGGCTCTGTCCTCCTGGATTTTGGCATGCTGGGCATTTTTTTTTTCCTTTTAAAATCTACCTTTGTGGATGAAACTATCCTTGCATAAAACTGTTATCATTGGTCCTCTCTGTCCTTGCCCCCTTTACAGAAATGAATTCACTGAAGAAAAAGCTAAAATGAAAGTAGTTGTGGCCAGTGATAAATAACATCAGCGCCTACTGGAAGTTAGAGGAGGCCTATAGCAATCAAATGGTAGCTTTTGGCTGTGTTTTTGAATTTGTGAAGCTGGTATCCTGAAAGTGGAAGGCCTTCTGGAACCCATTTCACATCACTTTGTACTTCTGAAAGACCTGTGCCCCCGCTGGAGGGGAACCTCTGAGTGCCTTTCACTCACCTCCGTATGAGTCTGCACTGTAATCCAAATTCCCCTGCTCTGAAGGCAGGTCTAGGTAGGGAACGCTGCCATGAGGAGCTGTGGTCTGTGAGCCTATGTCCTCCTGGGGGAAAGAAGTAGAGGTACAACAGTGAGGGCTGTTGTTTTTCTTTAATTTCTGTCTGTGGAGAGAAGGTGCTGTCGATTAAGCTGGTGAGTTAAAAGCATAGCAGCTATTCTGAAATGCAAAGGCACAGACTCAAAAACTGAGTAATCTGAACACCAGAGAAACATTCTTATTGGGGGGTATTACACAAGTGTTTAGATCTACCTCCCTATGTAGACAGGTCCTCATAAAGTTTGTGATTTGCTCAAGGCTGCAAGCACAAATAGACTGTCTCCATAGGCTCTGCAGCCCCTAACTTTGCACCCTGCCCTAGATGTCTCATACCACATTAGAGCAGCTGGCTGCCTCCTCCTCGGCATCTGCAGCGTATTTGCTGGAATCAGCCAGCAGCGTGGTGTCCTTGTTCTCAAAGATAGTCGAATAGAAGATGATGAGTGCTTCGACGATGCGAGCTTGGTGGGGATAATCAACCAGTGAGGACAAAGAAATAGTGGCATCTGTGGGCCTTGGCCGCATGAGTGTTGGCCCAAAGACAATGCCCAGGTTGCCTGAGGTCATCTTGTTGTCCTGTTCCACTTCCACAATCCTGGAGAGGAGGAAGAGCAGCTTGTGAGGGTGAGCAAGCAGAGAGAAGGGACGGGTGGGTGGGAAGAGCTCACTCAGCCTGGCATATCCAGGCAAGAGGAAATGCTGGACTGGCAGCACAGAAATGCCCTTTCTTGGTACACATGACAGCTTTCGTGAGCGGCAGAGAAGTAGATGTAGCTACTGATCTATCTCTGCTTCTGGGAAGGGCTGAGCTGTACCCACTGCCAGTATGGTCTGAGGGAGGTGGCTGTACTTGACCCACCTCCTCCCATTATAGGGGAGAAAGGGAAAGTACCCCAGCACCTGTGGTGGTCCTGGGCTAGCCCTTCTCACCTTCTCAGGTGCTGCAGAAGGTACTGGAGCGTGGCCATGTTCTCCCAAGGAAGCTCCTTCAGCAGCTCCTTCAGCTTCAACACCAGGGTCACAACCACCTTGTCTGTCTCGGCTCCTTTGTCCACCAGCTCAGGAACCCCTTTACCATTCTTGCCTTTGGCCTCGCCGCTGCCTTGTAAGCTCTCCTTGGCCAGGCCCATGAATTCATTGTACATGCGAAAGGGCATAATGGGCTCTGGCAGCTGCAGGAAGGAAGAACAGAGAGGAGATGAGTCCCTGGAGAGCCATGCCTCCTGCGTCTGGTGGGAGGTGAGCCTGCCTGTTACCCAGAACACACTGAGGACGATGTTTGTTTATCCATCTTCTGAAATAAGTAAATGCAGCCTCATTTGTCATAGCCAGTAAGTACCTGTGAAGTTCAAGCAAAAAGTAGCGTTTGACCAACCCCTTGGTGCTTTCTGCTGGATAGCTGCCTCTGGGTAAAGGTCAAGGAATTCTTTTTTTCCTCTGTAAAAGACCTGGCCAAGGGTGGACATAGCAGCAGTTTTCCAGTAGATGTTGTTAGAAAAAGGACAAAATTAATTGTTCTCTGGGAGCAGAAGGCAAGATGTAATCAGCTTAGTTTGCAGCAAAGGTGGCTGAGGTTAGATGGGAAAATCTGGCTTTGAAGATTGCATAAAGCACCTAAAGCAGCATGTTAAGCAGTTAGTAGATTTGCATCACTGCAATGTTTTGAGAATGGCTTGAACAGATGTTCATTGGAGAAAGATTGTCCCTTGTAGCGGAGCAGTGGTTTCTTCCAATTCAGCACTCTTGCAGAGCGACTTTAAATTGGTTTACCTGCAGTGTCTCTAGCTAGAAATTGGATCATGGTTCAGGACTGACTTCTTCCCTTTGCACTCTGCTTTTCTTCTCTGGAGAAACCACAGAGGCATCTCAGAATACTTATCTCCCTCTCTCTATGCAGGGAACCTAGGGAAAAGCCTCTATCCTTGAGCTGGGTACCTGAGCTAGATTCCTGAGTTAACTCCATGGGAGGGTTCCTACCGCATTATACCTCTCCTGCCGGGCCTTAAAGAAACACAGCACTAAAGAGTTAAGTGATAAGAGTGCAAAACAAAAGAGAAGTTCCTTCCTCTCCTTCTGCCTTGTGGTGGCTTGTATGAGGATGTGGGTCTCACAGTTTGCATTGCAAGTTTCACATACAGGAGTCTACTGAATAAAGAGGGGTTTTGTTATCTTGACACTCGAGGTAGTTTTGTACCAACAAATGGCTGTGCACACCACAGATCTTACTTTACAGGGAAAGTGCTGGTCAGGGAGACATGAATTCAGCCCCTGTCTCTGCCATGTGGAGTGACCTTTGTTAGATCACTTCCCTTTTGCTTACCTGGTTCCCCAATTGCAAAAGGGAAGACTTCTCTATGTTGTACTTCTGTAGATAAGAACTTTGCTGCTATAACAATGGAGGAACTGCGCAAAGACTGATTGCGTGTGATTTGTATGACGGTTCACTGACTGAGAGCATGAAGCCTGAAGTTCACTCAGAGGAGATGCAGCAGCAGTGCTGTTGGAGGAGAGTCTGTTTTCTTCTCCACTCCCCATTTGTATACACATACCTGTCTCCATCACTGATTCATCCTCAGCTAGGAGAGACCTCTCTCACCAACACTGTCATGGCTATGTAGCGGACGGATATTAAGCCCTGTTTGTGGCAGAATTACTAGTGTCTCAGTGAAGGCAGATTTGTTTTTGGAAAATTAGTTCTACTGGTCGTCTTTCTTCTGCCTCCCCCTTAGCAAAAGGTATCACCAGCATCTTACCTGTCTCAGATAGAGCTTCAAGACATTGCTGATATCATGAGGGGAAGCCTGGGATAGCTCCACTAGCTCTTTCCCATTCTCAAATGCCTGGCAAAGCTTTTCCACACGTGTCTTTACACCATTAACTCGGTAGATGCCCTATAAAAGAGAGAAAAATGGAGCTGAAGTAAGGAGAGACAAGTTTGCCCAAGACAGCTTCTAGTTCCCATACTCTCATTTTGGGGTTGGAAATCCCTCTCAGAAGTAATTCTGGGACAGCTGTTTCAGCTCTGATGTTACGATCATTCCTATTTCATAGACAGGAAAGAGAGGGAGGTAAGACAAGTGAGTTTCCAAGGCTGGAGTGTGTTAGTATCAAAGCTAAGATTATAACCTGGGGCAAAAATGAATGTGTTAGTTTTCATACCAAGACAGATGATCCTTTCAGGAGAAAGCAACTGAGCCCAGCTCAGCTGAAGGGTAGGGAAGAGAGGGTGCTTCACCTTGGTTTTCAGTGCCCGCTTCTCAATCTCAGAAATACACTTCTTGATGATAAAGGGGATGCCATCTGAACTACCCTGAGAAGCCTTTGTGAAGTCTTGCCCAAAAAGTTGCAGCTTCCCTTGGAGTTTCTTGTGCCCACATTGGATGGCCAAAGTTTCCAGACACTTCTTGTGGCAGGCAAGGTAGCACTGGAAAAAAACAGAAAAATGGTTGAAGGCAAGAGACAGCACCCTCAATGAGAAAGGCAGTCACTAAGAGACAGGCATTATTCAGAGATTAGGGAGCTTGATGAGTAGGCTGGCAGAAAGAGGGAAAATGCCATGCTTGGAGACACCATAGGATCGATGCAGAGTGCGTGGACCCATCCTTGAAGCAGCACAAGGCAGCTATTTTGAGCAGAGTGCTCCCAGCAGCTGACATTGATCAAGTCATTGGGGCTCACCTCTCCTAAACAATGCAAACAAACTAGCGCTGCGAGGGATCAAGCTTTCCTCAGCCCAGGGAATCATGAACTTGTCTCACAGGGACAGACCCTAAGCCATGACAGAGCACGAACGAGTCCTAGGCTTGAAAGCAGCAGCAGCTGGGAATATCTTCCTAAACACAGGCTAGAGCTATGCTAAGGTAGTCTCGCCTCAAAGTTTGTGCTGGCAGCTTTTCAGCTTGTCTTCCTCTGGAAACCTAGACCTGCTGGCTATGGTTACACCCACAGGTTTGACCACAAGCATATCTGAGCTCCTGGCTGGGTTCCTACAACAGACCTATCGACACCCAACTGACATAAGTTACGCCACAATATGCTACTGCAGAACATGGATGAGGTGCAGAATGAGGATGGGGTGGACCAGAGGACTTGAAGAAACTGGTGCGTTGTACAGTTTGTACAGTTCATGGGACGTATCCTCCATCTGTTCCATCCCACCAAGCTCTTTTCTCGCTTCCTCCAACTTTACCTCCTCACATTCTGCTCCCTGGAAGTAAACGTAGCTGTTGCACTCCCGACATTTGGAAGGGGCACGGAGCTTCCTCAGCCGATGAGTTTGGGCAGCCTTGGATAAGCCAACATTTCGGAAAGGTCCTGTTGGAGCAGTCATTTCTGGGGTGATCCCATTGATACCTACAAGCAGAACAAAAAGAAATACATTCCACATCTTGAGCTAAGGTTAAGCAAGGCTTGAGCATAAGGGTCACTGTCACAGATCTGTCAGTCAGCTGGGTGCACAAGTTCTAGCAGCATTACAGATAGGACTTGTAGACCTCAGAGTTCAGCTTGGGTCATCTGTTCCCAGTGGTTTTAGCAGAGCTGTCCCCTTTGCAAAGAAAATACTAACGGGTTCCTTATGGGATTACCGTCATGTCAAACGTCTTCCCAGCAATTGTTCAGTTTACCTCCAGAACTACTAAATTACCCCAGGAAAAGTCAAGCTGTAGTTAACGTTGTCATGGTGTTTGAGTACAGAGCCATATGTGCTGCAGAATCACTGGTTCATTTCCCACTTTATTACGTACTCTGCTCAAAGGAGGTGGCATTCTCATCCTTCTCTTCCAGCTCCTCGCTGGAGGACATGGTGCCATTGGAAGACAATCGCTGCAGTTTATGACTGAATTCACCTGTCAAAACAAACCCGCAAGCGAGTGAGATTACTGGCAAAGTTGTTTCTCTTCTGAGCGAGCTCTTAGTGCGTGCCTGCTTCCCACAGCAAAAAGTCTTGTGCCTTGCATTGCTGGGGTGGCTGGAGAAAATGAGAGCTTCCTCTGAGCTAGCAAGGGTGATACATTCCCCTACAATGCCTTGCAGTGGAGTTGTTTGCAGTCAGCATAGTTGTGATGGTTCAGCACTCCCACATCTCACCCTTTGTTAGAGACTGGGATCAGAGCAGTTACTTACAACACAGAGGTTTATTTTAAGGCAGGTAAAAAAGAAGTGATGGGTCCCACCCTACCACCAGTACGCTGCTTTTAAGCTGACTTTAGGAGAAGGGGAAATACTGGCTGCCCTGCACTGTTTTCTGTATCTACCTGCATTTGAATCCAGGCTGCTGTCCACTTCAGTAATAGAGGTTGGCCAAGATTTATGAACCTGGTGTCCCCTCCCACCTGCAGAAGAAAACACACAGTCCATTCAAGATTGCTTCCTGGGTGCAGGACAGTAACACAGAAGAACAGCCTAGAGACCCTGGGAGACACTTAAATTACTGAAGGAAGCTGCTCAGTTTGCTGTTTGCAGGCGGGTGAAGGAACTGGTGGGGTTGCAGTGCCTTCAGTAGCACATCCAGCTTGGGAAAGAAGAGATGGGAAGATGGTGAATAAGCTGTTAGGTAACAGGAGACAGCCAAAAAAAAAAAAAAAAATCTAATCCTGTTCCTTCAGGAAATTCAGCTTACAAGGCTTTCTCTTCCAGCCTGTCCTACTACTGCAACTAGAAGCCCTGGCCCTTGGTGTCCCTCCCAAGGGAGGGAGCTATCCTTGTTTTGTTCCAGAGCAGAAAGAAGAGACCAGCACCTGAAAATAGTGGTGTTGGGGAATGTAATGGGCAGGCTTCTGTCTGCTCCAGACTCACCTCTCCTGTCAACTGCCACAGCTCCACTTTGCTGCTCCTTGGCTCCTGCCCCTCCATCTGAGATATTCCCTTCTTTGGGCAGCCCAGCTCCATCAGAGCTGGCATTTGTTGCAAAGTCATTGGCATTGAAGCTGCCTTTCCGTGTCCGAATAAAGGGGGACCTAGTGGGCAAAAAGAAGGAGAAAAGGGAATGTCCAAGTGAAGGAAAAGAAAAGAGACACTTGAAAATCTTATTCAAGGCTGCTATCTACCTGTCTTGGGATTTACAGCCCTCTATCTTAAATACCAGATAGCCTGTCTCATCCATCAACTCTTTCAATGACACTTCTCCCTGCACCTTTAGAGCGGAAGAGTTACTCCTCCAGCAGTAGGATGCGCCTGTCCTTGGCTGCAAAGAGCAAGGCAGGAGCATTGGGTTGTGAGGAGAATTCCCAGGTGGTCCAGCCCCAATTTTCTCAGCAGGAGCTGCCTTCAGGCATACTGACAGCAGGAGAGCATCGTGCTAGCCCAAGGGAAGGTTACCAGCAACAGAGAAGATAAGTGTAAACCATGGACCCTTCTGCAATGATCTGCCCTCCCTCTTTTCCTACCAGGCGTTATGTGACACATAAGGCTCAAAGTCGTATTGGATCTCAGGTTCGTCTCCTCGCTGCAGCTGCTTGACATGAGAGGCGTACTGCTGCCCAGGATCATAGAGTTTGCTGCTCTCACAAAGCGTCTGGAAGTAGACAGGCAGTGGAGCAGTCTGCATGTGCATGATCTGGTAGAAGGCGATCGTGGCCTGAAAATAACATAGAAGAATCAGACATGAGCTTTATGAGGCAACGTACAAGGAACAGGGAGACAAGGAGCTCCCGATTAGATGAGAAACCAGGAATCCCAAAGTGGTGCTTGGTCTGCAGCCTTGGACCTTGGCTTTTCAGAACACATGGGAGGGAAGAGAGCTTACATAAGGCCCACCTGGACCTCACCAGAAATAGGAGCTGCTAGGCCAGATGTGCTGGGCAGGTAGCTCTGAGCATCTCCTGAGCATGTGGTGTGCAAGACGCTGGGTACAGCCACCCTACCTGCCCTCAGGGCCATCCTAAGCAAGCAAGCCCTACTCACCAATTTGATGATCTGGTCACTTTGTTTGATCACTTCATGGATCTGCCGCAAGGCATTCACCTTGGTATCCTCCAACTCCTGCTTCTGGGTGTTTGCATCCGCAACGCAGGTCCGATATGTGGCCATTGCCTCATCTGCCTGACAGTTGGGAGAGCAAGAGATGGAAACAGCGCAGAGGGACGGAATATGGCCTCTCTGGACATGGACCTAGTTCCTTGTGCTCCTGGCCCTAGGACTCTGCATTGCAAGAATTTAGCCTGGACAGCCCCAGGGGAATGAAGCCTCCTTCCCAGAAGTGTTACAGCATAAGTGCTGCTCACAGTCCTCCAGGCAGTCCTGTACCATGTCTGAAGACCTGCAGGAAGCTCGTTTCAGTCCCTTTTTTTTTTCTGGACTTCTGTGCTAGGACAGCAAGGAGTGAGAAGGTTCTTGCAAGGCAGACGCTCACCCACTAAGAGGCCTGTGGAGTCCATCCAGAGCATTTGAGCAGCTGCCAATTGCCTGCCAGGGGCAGCAGATTCCCCTGGGGCCTGGTCTGCAGTGAAAATAACTGGACGCCAAGAAGGCATTGGAGTTGGTTCAATGGCACCAAAAAGAGCTCTCTGTGTGCTGGGGGGGAGAGGCAGCTCTAACAGGGCTTGGAAGCAGGGAGGGCAGGAAGCCAGGACAGCAGCACTGGTGAGCTGTGTAACAGCTGTCATCCAAAAGCTACCTTTGCGCACCCATTTGCAAGCTAAGACAAGCACACAACAGGCTCCTTGCTCAGCCAGCATCCAGAGCTGTTATGTTCCTACCTTGTTCTTGGCTTCCTCTTCCAGCCGCCTTTTCTTGTCCAGGGTTTTGGTGGTGATGCTGCTGGTGGTGTTCTGCTGCTCTTCCTCCGCTTTTGCTGCCATGTACTTAGCCTTATCATGCTCCTCGCAGCGCTGCATGTATATCTGCTTGGCCTTGCGCAGGTTGGCCTCTGCATCTTGCTGCCAATGAAAACAGTAACCCAGAGTGAGGACTGAACTCTGCAAGGGGATCGTCATCTCCCATGTGCTGCCCTGAGAGATTCATGCACGTGGCCACAGACTGGGCCATTGGTTGAGCATGAACAAGCTCCACTTGTGGAGCCAGTATGAAAGAGGAGACTTTAAGTCGTAGGGTACTGGGACAGGGCGCCATCTCTTTGTAATGTGATTGTGCATGGCTCAGGACAGCAGGATTTGGGTCTTTGACTAGGACTCTTCCAGCTTCACCATTACAGCAATAGTTAATAATAAGGGAAGAGCTCTTGAGTTTTTATGGGGAGACTGACATGAAGATCTGGCTGGCCAAAGCTCTTTTCCATCCGTGTTGCTCTCTTGCCCCATGAGGGCAGAGGGTCTGCAAGGCATGGCTGTATCCCCTCCAACTCCCATGCTGCAGAGAGGCCAGGAGGCGCCTTAGATCTATGTTTCTCTGGGGTCCCCCAGCACAGCAGGCTCTGGAAGAGGCACTCTAGCTCAAAGCAACTGACACTTATTTTAGAGGGGTAAGAAGTCCAGCGTTATCCATGAGAAATGTGGTGGGGACACTCCAGGCTGGGATCAGGGAGCACAACCCCAGCCCATGCTGTGTGTCTCTGTTACGCACCAATTTCCTCTGTGCCCGGTGCCACTGCTCTTTGATCTCCTTCCTTCGCTTTTCATGTTCAAGGCGTCTCACTGTTAGTGGCTGAATCAGGAGGGAGAAGGAAACAACATAGTGGTTTGAGCTAAATGCTCACTGGTCTTCCCCTTGCAAAAAGCTTTGCAAGGAAAGTTTCCTGTGGTGGATGTTATCATTCCAGCTAGCACAACTGGGCTCAGTTACAGGGAAGGTTTGTGTCATGGACAAAAACCTGCACCCTGGAAAGCACCAAATTGAATTTCCCTTTAGATTGCTCTAAGCAAGAGCCACCCTCTGCAGTAACAGGACATCAGTTCTCTCTCCCTGGCACACAGCTCCAGAGAGCAGCTGTCTCTGGGAGATCAATGTAACTTGCTCTATGCTGAAGGGGAAACAGGCAGACACAGAAACACCTCAGATGAGGTACAAAATAAAAAGGAGGTGCTGCTTGTTCCTGCCAAACTTTGGGAGAGTTTCCCAGACCCTTTATCCAAACCCCTGAAAGACCAGGCATTTGGATTGCAGTTCCCAGAAGAGCTGCCTGTGATACCAGAGCATAAGGAGACAACCAGCCTTCCCTTGCTGCACGGCCTCTGGGGAAGAGCCATTTTCAGATAGCCTTTCCTGGGGAAGAAGGCATTTCCTGCTTCTCAGGGACACAAACCTCAGAGACCATTTCCACTCTGAACCGAGTCATCCAGTTCAGGACTCTGTGCATGTGTCTGAGCACCCCTGTGTGTGTGTACATGGGTGGGGTCTGCGCTGGGGCGTTCTCCCACCTGAAGGAAGGTTTGGTGCTGCAAGGTGCTGGCAGCTTGCAAAACTGATGTCCCATACTCCATGTCCTGCTCCAGAGCCAGCAAGTAAATCGACAGGAACGGCATGCTTGTCTGAGAAACGAGAAATGCATGACCTTAACACCGTGTCATGAAACAAGGCAGACGTTCTCCAGTGCTGTGTCTGGGGGGAGAGGAGTGAGAGGCTCAGCTTGCCTGCCAGCCCCTGCTAAAAGCTCAGCCCCAGACTGAAACAGTGTGGTCACAGACTGCAGAGAGACTGCTTGGAGGGAGGTCAGAGGCCTGAGGAGGCTTGAAGGGCCAAGACACCTGTCCAGCAGCTTTTGGAAGGAGCACAGGATGCGGGGCACGTGTGGCCCATGAGCCTGGCTTGGCTCTCCATGCTGGCACACCTGGCAGGGCCAGCAGAGAGACCTCTCTGGCATTCACTTTGCTGGGTACTACAGGTCGCCACCGCTTGAAGTACTGGCCCTGCTTTGCTCCCAGCTCGGGGAGAACTGGGGCTCTGGATGTTATAGTGGTGAGGGGACAGGATTCCCAAAAGCTAAAAGAAATATCAGATAACTCATGGCGGAGCTTTTGTGGCGGGTCTCAGCATTATCCTTTGCTTTCATTCCTTTGGTTTGGACACATGAATTTTGCCAAGCAGAGAGCTTTGGAAAACTGCACGCCTGGTCTCCTGGGCTCTAAAGCCAGGCAAAACAAAGAGCTTTCCAGGGCTTCTCACTCCTGCTGAGGTTCAGATACAGCCCAGTACCCTAGCCACTGTGTGGCTTCAGGGCATGTGGACTTACCTCTTGAGTGATGGTTTGCTTGCAGCTGTTTGCCATCTTCTGAAGCCCTTTGGCAAACTCCATTTCTGGAAGAGTAAGGTTGGAAGTGAAAAGACATGAGAAATGCAAGAATTTCCTTGCTGATTGGGTTCCTTTGTAAAAACAAATCCAGAACTTCAGGAGTGAATGTTTAAATTCACCACTGTTCTTGCAGTGTCTTGCAGCTCTCTCCTCCCCCAGCAATCGGTTTTTGCATATACATGGAGTTAGTTCATCGATAGACATGGCAACATAGGTAGATCTCGTTTTTGGATGGAAAAAAAGCAGAAAAAGTGGCTTGTCCAAGATCATACACACCGTGTGAGCAATCCTAGTGGAAACTACACATACTGACTTCCAGCCTCGTGCTCAGTGCAGAAGGCAGTCAGCAATTATCTGTTTCAAATCCATTTCCAGATCCAGATCCAAAAGCTTTGTCTCCATTACCCTCATGCATGTAATCTTAGAGGACGTTGATCTGCTCTGATGCTGTCACAAGGGGTTCAGCCCCGCTGTGGAAAAGACCCCCACCCTCCATCCTTCCCCTCTCACCCAGTGTGGTCCTTTTCTCCAGGTAACCAATGAGGTCCTTCATGTATTTGGAGATGTTTTTGGCATACTGGAGGGCAGCATCTACTCCGCCCTCACACCGCTGCAGCATGACATCCACCTCCTCTGCGGGTGGGCGGACTGTGACAGGGGGACACGGAGAAAGGTGGGAAAAGAGAAACAGGAGAGAGATACTGAACTGTGCTACTGCCAGCCACTGTCGTTCACTGACCCACTCCCCCTTCAAGTGCCTTGGGGTTTCCAGAATCACTGAAACAATCAGGAAAACTCCAACGCTCGAGCAGAATGGCCTTCCTCACCCTGCAAGGTTTCCTGTGTCTGACCTATCTGGTCATTGCCTCCCTCAGGCTTCCTGAGCGTTCGGTACAAATTCTTTCCCCCTCCACCTCACCCAAGATACCTGTGCTGTTATCTGCCTGTGCTGGTGTCCTGCAGGCACCCTCTGCCAATGGCGGCAGCTTTGTGTGCGTCTGTGCTGCCTTTGCTCACCTGTGTCTTCACATTTGTCAGACTTGCTCAGCTCAGGAAATGGTTTCCCCAAGCAACCCTAGGCGGCCAACACCCAGTGTGCTTAAAAGCCCTTTTCATGTCTATTCTGAGGTCTTTCACCTTATGTTCACTGCAAGGAAGAACAGCTGGGTTGGGCACTGGTGCTGTGCTAGTGGCCGCAGCGACCACACGTAGTTAGATCAGGGCTCACTGCCCTGAGAAGCAAGCCCACACCTTGCTGGTGCTGTCTTTGGTAGCAGTAGTAGTACTGCTAGAAACACTTGGCATGGCTGTATGAAGGACCCCACTGGAGCCAAGCAAATTGTCCCTCCCGCCCTTGTCACTTATTTGGTGCAGCCTAGGGGCCGGGAGCAGCACTGATGTCCTGTGCGTTGCATGGCTCTCTGGCACAGCCAGAACAAGGGCACTCAAGCACATGGGGGGCAATGAGGCTGTGCCAGACCCTCCATTGCAGGACCACAGTGGCGGTGAGGAAGATGCCCTTTTCTGTCAGCTGTTCAGCTCAGCCAGGTACCCTGGCATCCCCTGATCCTGCCACCATATTCCTGCACCCAGAGAACTATCTGCTTACCTGTGTCATAGCTTTCCATGCCAGACAGCATGCCATCTCCTCCAGGCCCAGGGATCCCTCCGTAGAGACTCTCCATAGACTTTGGGAATTGGGAAAGAAAAGGAACTAATCAGACAAAGAGGAAAGGGAGTAGTGTTGGGGTGATCTGGCAGATGGAGAGGAGACAGAAATCCTGAGCTGCTGGAGCCTTTTTGCTGTTGCTTGAAGTCTGCTGGGCACAGCCCCATGGTCCTACAGGAAGGCCATGAGCTATTGGGGACCTCACTGGAGAAATGCCTTGCACTGTGCACACACCAGATCGGGGCAGAGCTAAGGAGAGAAACCTGGAGTCCTGTTCTCAGTTTCTGTTGACAAAACTGCTCCATCCCTTTCCTAGCCAACTTCTTTCCACTTTGCCTTGCCCCTTTGTACCTAGCTGCCAGGTGCCTTTTTCCTCTGCTTGTGAGTGGCAGTGAGGACAGGACCAGACAGGCAAAGCTTGCACACAGCTCTGCTAGGCCCAGAGGTGAGCTGGGAATCCCACATCGGGGGTCGGGGGCTCTGCTCCTTCCTCAGCCTGGTCTGAACGCCCCTGCACAGGCCAGCTGAGACCCGTGTGACGGGAGCTGGTGTCACTCACCTGGTTCTGGTCGCTGGGTGGGATGGAGAGGATGGTGCTGCTGTCCACCTCCCCCATGAGGAACTCGGACACGCTGCAACAAGAAGAATATGGCTGGTCAGCAAAAAGAAGGGCTGACAGTGGCAAAACAGGGTGGTCTCCAAACAATACCCAGCTCAAGTCCTTGGGACAGGACTAGGACCAAGACAGTTGGAGCTGCAGTATTGATTTCGGTTGAAATCAGCTCAGCTCCATGTGAAGTGGGCTTGATGATGCAGCTGGAGGAGGAGAGGTGGTGGTGGCCCAGCACTGATGCGGGGCCAGGAGATGGAGCCTGTGAGCCCGAGCAGGCTTTGGGGTCCGTCTTAGCTCTGGACTGGACCCATGTGCCAGGAACTGCTGGTACAAGTGGCAGGAGGAGCCAGTCTGCACTCCTGACCAGGAGCCTGTGAATTGGTAGCTGTGCATAAACTTCTGCCATAAATCTGCACTCCTGCTGTGGTCCCAGGCATCCCCCAAATCAACTGCCACGTTTGGGGCTGTGCCTGTGGTTAGGGGATGGAGAAGGGGGTGAAGGTGTGTTCTTGCTGGCAGGGGGTGGTGGGGTCCATTGGGGGGAACTTCTTTGGGGGACAGCTGGCCAAAAATCCCTTACGTGCTGCTGAAGGACACTGCAATGGTCTCCAGGGCCTTCTCGAACTCCCGCTTGTCTGTCTCATTGTTGGATTCGTAATGGAAACCTGGAAATTGAGGAAATGCAGAAGCCCTGTCATCGCAAATGCCTGTTCCTGTTCAAACCAGAAGGGTTGCTGGCTCCTGCCAGTGTCAGGCCTGCAGTGAGCAAGGGGCTTCCATCCCCACAGTGTGACCCTGCCCTGCTTGGGACCTACCTTCCCTGAAAGAACAGCCCCGAGGGACCTGGATGCTCCTGGAGATTTGGAAGGTCTCTCCAGAACATCTTTGGAAATGCGCTGGGTGAGAGAGTGCTCCAAGCATACAAACAAATAGCCTGGAGCTGGAGAAGGCCAGAGCTGGCTGGTGTCTGGGCCAGCTCTGGGGAGGGCTGGGGGGCACAGCAGGGAGATCAAGACTGTTCCTGGAGGTTATTTCTATGACCTTGGTCTAATGTAGCACAAAATATCTGTTTCCTTACTACTCAGCTGTTCTGTCTCTTAGGATTGATTTCCCTGTTAGTGTTACTTGACTCATATTTTTATTTACTCCCATTACCCAGGGTTACTGAAAAAGTGCTGTTGACCACGAGCTTGTTTCCCTGCCTTTATCATCTTGGGCCATCTTCAGAGCCCCTGGCCTCGAGACACAGAGGCTTCCTACAGACGGGCTCTTGCCCAGGCCAAAAGAGGAACCGTCCGCGGCAGTGGGAGCCGTCACAGACTGCGTTTTCCAGG